TTCATCCTTGCTAGATGAGTTTAAGAACAAGAAGACCAGACCTTTTGAACTTTCAGATATCATTGATCATGTGGTTCAGTTCAGGTATCAATCTTGCACCTTCACTTTTGTTTCTAGTGACATGGCTATGTAGATGTGTATTGATAATCTGTGACATAATGCAGTACTGATCAGTATGGTAGCCGGTTTATTCAGCAGAAATTAGAAACAGCTTCAGTAGAAGAGAAGACCAAGATATTTCCAGAAATCATTCCTCATGCTCGGGCCTTGATGACTGATGTTTTTGGCAATTATGTCATACAGAAAGTATAATTAGCTTCTACAGCTGAATAATGAGTACTGTCATAAATATGCCCACTTTTATTTGGTTATTATTTAAGAATTTCATGGTTGACATTGTACTATTGCAGTTTTTTGAGCATGGTACAGAAACTCAAAGAAAAGAATTAGCCAGCCAACTTACAGGTCATGTTTTACCTCTTAGTCTGCAAATGTATGGTTGCAGAGTGATTCAGAAGGTGCCTTTCAAGCCTTATACTATCATATTATTCCCCATTTAAGTGCATTAACTTTTGCTTGTTTCTTAGAATACCATTTTCTTAATTTTCTTTTGCATTAGATAGTTAGAGAAAATAATTCTTAATGATAAATCTGATATTGTTGATTTTGGTAAAAATAATACAATCCACACTCTCAGTTCTGATACAAGATATATATAGGCAGAAGCTGAGATCAGTTAGTTGTAACAAACAACTAACTTATTACTAACTACTAAAAGATTACAATCAACTAATATCTCAGAGTACAGCTACATATACACACGGAAAAATATTCTCACAATACAAAAAGAAGTTTATATTCTCACTAAGATCCCTTTTATCCCTTGTCAAGCCTTAGTGCACTGTTTATAGGTACAGGTGGTCTCTGTTTTGCATATTAGTAATTTTGGCCGAGTTCTTTTTCAAACTGATGGTTGTTTTATCAAGTAAATAATGAAGCACTTGAGATATTCTTTTGTTTTACTTCCAAATTCTGCAGTTCTTAAGTTTGTCAGTTTTTTATTTCATATAGTCTAGTGGTATCTCATCAAACTTAAAAGGTTTTATCACCCTTCAGTCTATATTAGAATTAAAAAAAACAATGTTAATTTAGTTCTTATTTGGCTTATGGTGATGCTGATAAATATTTATTGGTTTGTTACAAAGTTAAACTTTAAGGAACTGACCCCCCTCCTCCCACTTATTTATTCTCTCGATTATTTGGTTTTAGATAAGCTGAAATGAATGCGTTATGTCAAATCTTAACAAATTTTATTGACAGGCCTTGGAGGTGGTTGGTGTGGATCAGCAGGGTCAAATGGTGTCTGAACTCAATGGTGCAGTAATGAAATGTGTACGTGATCAAAATGGAAACCATGTTATTCAGAAGTGTATAGAGTGTGTCCCTCAAGATAAAATTCAGTTTATTGTTTCATCCTTTTATGGGCAAGTTGTTGCACTTTCTACTCATCCTTATGGGTGCAGAGTTATTCAGGTAAGACTATTTGACAGTGCATCTTCTATTGAGAGGCTGTGATGCATTTTTTTTCCTTTTTCTTTTAGCATTTTATTTAATGATTAACAGTTTAGATGGATGCTAACAGAGGGTTCTAGAACATTGTGATGATCTAAATACGCAACAAATTATCATGGATGAAATCATGCAATCTGTCAGCACTTTAGCACAGGATCAATATGGAAATTATGTTATTCAGGTATATAGCTTTCAGAATATGAACCTTTTCAGTATAGGAAATGCACATTGGCATTAGAGATGCACATTTTATGCTTTGACACTTCTGTGCTTATACTCTCCCTTTGAATATACATTATACTTTTGTGACTTTGGTTGTGTCTCCCATCTTAGAAGAGTTCGAGTTCATGTTTTTTGCTTGACTTATTTAACTCATGTCATGTGGCTTATGATGAGAACCTTGGGATAACTATATCACAAATGTTATAGTTGGATTGCCCATGGCCTTATAAACCCCATGTTAGAATCCTATACTTCTGGTGTGGAACTCAGGTCCCGTACCTTGCAATTCGATCTTATCATCCCACCACACTGCACGGCCCTGACACCCACACAGGCTGACTGTGCAGCAGCCCTTTGACTAGTCCCAAGCAAATACTACAATGTTAATGTCACCACCCATGTAGAGACATGGTGGAAGGCTCTGATACCAATTGATAAGCACTTGGGGAACCCTCCCTTAAAAGATAGCTATTAAGGGGGAGGACCAAATACTTAAATACTCTACTTAACACACCATACTACTTTGTGGGACTTATAAGACACCTCATTATACCAAGTTCCTATCAGCTTACCTATATGATCATTAAAAAGGTCCATACCTTACTACCTTAGGCATGTTCATTTTTTTTCCAAAATTAAATGAACAGTGTCTGTTAAATAAGCTAATAATTAGACATTTATTTTGCTTATATATTTTATCACTTGCAACTGTTAAATAAGCTAATAATATATGGAGGTTTCATTATCAAGTGATATAGAACTAATATTATGATCTCATCCATTTACTTTAACAGATTGAATATTGATATGGCTTGCTTTATGTTTGTTTGATTTCACTTGTGATACATAAACCTGTTTTAACTTTTTGAAAATAAATGTCGGTTGCTTATTGTTTGTGCCGATTTGATTGAGTTCTGTATCATAATACCTATATTATGTTTATTCTTTTTTACTAATAGTTCCTTTGTTACTTTACTATTTCTTTGGTAGCATATCGTCGAACATGGTAAACAACATGAAAGGACTGCTATTATCAACAAGCTTGCCGGACAGATTGTTAAGATGAGCCAGCAAAAGTTTGCTTCCAACGTTATCGAGAAGTGTTTGGCTTTTGGTAGTCCTGAAGAACGTCAAATTTTGGTGAATGAAATGCTTGGTACTTCTGATGAGAATGAGCCTTTACAGGTATTGCTTTTTTATCTCTAATTGTTCAAAATTTCAAGTTTTCCAAGGCTGGAGATTATCTGTTACTCAACTTTTTTCATGTCATTTACTTTAGCATCAGCTGAGGAGGTTAGTTTGTAACTTCTATTAATCTGCTATCATTGTTCAAGAATCTGTTTGTGTGGGTTCACTTTCCTTTCCTAAATGTTTTGTTTACCTTGCCAAAAGAGAAGCTTCTGGGAAGAGAATACTGTTTCGGGATTCCATTTATTTCTGATAAAAGTTTAAGTATCATTTTGCATTGTTTTGTATATGTATCACTTCAGAGGCGCTTAGTGAATGATGGCATAAATCAATTTTGCAGGCTATGATGAAGGACCCTTTTGGAAATTATGTTGTGCAAAAGGTTCTCGAGACTTGTGATGATCGAAGTCTTGAGCTGATCCTTTCTCGCATCAAGGTTCACTTAAATGCACTGAAGCGGTATACTTATGGCAAACATATAGTTTCTCGCGTGGAGAAGCTCATAACCACCGGAGGTGAGGAATTCAGAGACTTGGTTTGATTTCTATTTTTAGAAATTGTTTAGTTTTCAAACTACAACAAAACAAGGTTGTTCAGACTACTGGTGGAAAGTGGTGCAAGGCACAAAACAAAGTTTGGAACTGAAGGAAACATCTCATTTGTTTCTGTTTCTTTGGTTTTTAAAACACTTTCTTTAGAAACAATTTCAACATCTAATAAATTTTGGATGAGAAACTGATTTGTGAGTAGTGTGAATTTCTTTCAGAAACAGTTTTTAAAACCAAAAAATGAGAAGAGAATCAAACATGCCCTTATATAAATTTCCAGTGCTTGTGTGAATTGTTTATGCAGTGCGTTAGTTTCTCATATAAGCCCTTCATTTGCAGAAAGACGCATAGGGTTGTTGGCCTAATTTACTACATGCTGGGGCATCCATGAAAAGAAGGTCTTGGGGACAGAGTCCTTCTCGTGTCCCAACTTTTCCTTTTGTACAGCTAACATGAATGATGTTTATATCACCAAGTTTAGCCTGCAAGCAAGCTTTACCTTATATAAAGCATTGGAGATAAACATGGTCAGCTGGGCCATTAGAATAAATTATTTTCCTTAATTTCGTTACTACTACTTGACAGAAACAGAAAAATCTCTGCAAGGAGAGTTAACTTAGGATGTCAAGAATAGACGGCAATGTGTATTTATTGTGTATGTATATGAGCTCCATTGTCTGTAAAGAAAACAATGGTTAATCACTTATTGCAGTAACCAGAGTCATTATTAGATCAGGCTCTAAACTTTTATTTCATCTATGTAAATAATATGCTGCAAATTTCTTGTCTTTTATTTCCATTGTTTATAACCTTAGTGCACTTTTCTTTCGTTTATGTTAGAACTGAGTCCCTTTCACACTTGAAGGGAAATCAAGCTAAATTAATCACCCTAGTTGGTTAAGTTTTGTGTTTATGTTGCTGTTTTTTTTTTGTTCAGACTTAACATGCATGCAAATTGTGATAAACGCTATACAAACATTTGGCAGCACACATGCTAACATTTTGGTATTGGATTTTTTATATTGGATGAACTTCAATATTATTTGAGTGCTTAACATTTTTTTGTATGGAATTGCACTCAAACCAGAGCTTGTACGGATTTCAAGCTTATAAAAATAACTTTAAACTTACCGTTTAAAATTTCATTTAATAGGTTATAATTAAAGAATAAAAAAAAGGTATTCATATTGAATTAGAAAAAACTAATAAAGTCCGGGCTTATTATATTATTCTTTTTCATCAGTTTTGTTTTAATAAATTGAAGCTTTCTATGGAGAGAATCTTGAAAGCTTATAAAAATATTTAGCACCTTAAGAAAGTTTAAAGAAACATTATTTTCATTATGTAAATAATTAAGAAAAAAATAGTAAAAAAAATCATAAGGAAGATATAGCAAAGAATTTCAACTAGAGGAGGAAGAAAAAAAAAACGAAACGGAGGCAGGTAAATATTGGATAAATAAAACAAATATATACAAAAGAATAAATTCTATACAAGTAAAATAAAATGTTAATATATACAAAATAATGGAGACTGAGTTAGTGCTAGCAACCACAATAAACATTAAAAGCTCAAATAATCACAGCCGATGGATCACACTCAGGGACTGATGATGTGTCTGACACTGAACCTATCAACCGAAATTCCACCATTTCTTCTTTTTCTTTGTATGAGATAAGGGCAATTCTGAATACGAAATGACATGCAAAACAATCAAACGAAGATACATTAGTACTTGGCTTCACCAACAGTAATCAACAGGAAAAAAATGGTGTCGTTTTATATTCGGTGCTGATTAGGAAACAAATGAGGGAACGGCTTCTAAAATATTTCATCAGGCGAAATTAAAATTATAATCATAAGTAATTTTCTCTCTCCCTTTCTTTTTCTCAATATGTTTCTGGGTTTCTTTTATCTTTCCAAAAATGGAGGATTGTTCAACGAAGCCAACTCAGTAATAAAATATTTAGGAGATATTTTATGGAGTCGCATAGTAAGTCTGACACAAAATTCAACAGTTATTGCAGTGTTAAATAAAGGTGCAATAATGGCCAGCAAAGGAACTAATTCAAAATGCATGAAACAGACTATAATAATCAAAAGACCAAGATTATTTAGTTCTTCAACAAAATGCAACTCAGTAAACTCATCTTAGATGCTCCACCTTCGAAAATCAATTAGTGTATCCACAAAGGGTGTTAAATTTAGCATTCCAATTGTTAGCTACATGTCTACATTGTGGTAAAAAGGATTCACAGAAAAATAATTGGAAAATTGTAATATAATGAATACTCTGAACCTTTCAGAGGACATAGAGTAAGATATTTAACGGAGCAGTATCAAAATAAAACCGGATGTGGAAACACAATCATAATCATCTTATTCTACACTGTTCAGATGAAAGAAAAAAAAATGTTACCTCCTTCTGGATAAATTGAGTTGTAATGCACCTCTGCCCAAAAGCTCAGACATATCACTGCAGAAGTTGCATGTGCCACAAACTTAGCATGTCGTTGAAACTACTTTAAATACTGCAGAAGTTAACAAATTACTTTTCTATACCATGGAAGATATTCCCATTTATGAATTTGCTCATTTCATAAGTTAGTGTAACAAGTGAAAATGATACCATCTATTCAATGACAAATCAAAATATTTTTGCAACAATATATTAATTAATTTATCAAACAAAACTTTTTATTAATTAAAAATCACGTCATCAACAAAATATTGTCATCATTCTATCACTCTCTTCATTTTTTTTTTAAATTAAAAGCAACTTTAAGTACTAATAGAATCTTACCTCTTCCAGACTTCTGTATCTGTGGATTAATCTCGATGTAACACGTGTCCTTATAAGATGTAATAACAAAAATTTTGATACCATACTGAAAGAACATGAGAAATGACCGTATCAGTCACAAACAAAAATACAATGATTATCAGATTTTATTCACCATTTCAAACATAACATGTACTGTTTAAATTTTACCCTTAGGATACTCGATTTATCCATAGTTCCAACATAATGGAGCCAATAATATCCAAAACAAAAATATAACTTGAACTTTTACAATAATAAAAGTAAATATCGTACAACTTGGACCTCAACTAATTTGAATTGAGCTGGGTGGGCTCATATAACAGAAGAAAGATCTCCCCGCTCCTAACCTCTTCTATGCTATAGCAGCACATGGCAGTTTTAAAAAGCCCCGAATCTTTTTTTATTAAATAAAAATGAAAATTCTGATAACTTAAATCTTTTTATTAAATCAGTGAGATTATGTTAACAAAAGAGCTTAAAAAATTTGAACTTTAAAAGAGAAAAAAATGCCCAAAAAACCCAGTGGAATTTCTTTTAACTATTACATGATCAATTTACAATCAAGAAAAATAGTTTAAGTGACTTCAAAACAGTCTCTAAAAGATGCAAAACATTCTTCAGATGCAAATCAAGGGAATAAGAATCCATGGGATCAGATAATTAAAGATTTTCCACTTTGAAATCGCAATTACAATTGCAAAGGCACAAGGCAGCATAGCCAATAAAAAATGAAGAAAAGTATTATAGAGAAGGCAAAAATAAAATGGAAATTGTTTACTTCCTCATACCCAATCTGCAGCAGCCTGCAATGTGACATGATCACCCCATTCACCACTCCTGGTACATCCACACAAAAGAGCTATCAGTGAACACAAAGGACAACAATAAAGTCATATCATTAGAAATAATGTAGCATAATGAGAAATATGAACATACTTGCTCATCTTTTTCAAATAATCACTATAAGCACCAGGAACATAACCAGCATATATTTCTGGGTGAGATTTGAGCTGACAAAACACAGCAAAAAGTAATGTATCAATACCAATGAACATAAGCAGTCCACTCTCAACAAGCAATACAATGTACACCAACAAACCTGTTCAATAATTTGCTCCCGCACAAATTTGTGGTGGTCTGAAGAACGATAGAGTTGATCTGATAAAGAACGGAACTGAAAATATGACACCAATAAGGCACTTGTTTTTTTATTGAAGAGTACTAATGATTACGAAATTTTCGGTGATTCACCAACAATGTTATGTTCATAAAAATTAGATTTAGTAAATATAAAACATTTTGTTACATAGCTGCAAAATTGTCAAATTTCCACAGAATCATAATAAATTATATAATAAAAAAATCCAACAAATACACTAAAATTCGAAAATAACTAAATATTTAAATTGCAATTGATAGACAGAATCAACACAAATGATAAAGCAGATAGCCTATATAATAACAAACAAAAAAAAGGATTTTTCATCCAAAGGAAGAAAAAACATTTAATCCTGATTAACTTCAGTGTGGAACTGTTACACAATCAAAGAACCATACGGTCCACCAGTATAGAGATCAGTTTAATTCTGCTCCTTTTCACTAATAGTATAAAGAGTTTTACATCAATTAAGGAAACTATAACATTTTAATTGCAAATTGCAAGTAAATGAATGACAGGTGTAACCTGGGAATGGGAAGTCAAACCTTTCGTGAAGGCTTGGCAGTTTGTGCCTGCCTAACCTAACACAACATGGTTTTTCTGCCTGATTTGCAGCATTGAGGTGGGTAGGGCTGTTTATTCCTACTCAGCAGGTTTAGTGCAGGTGTGGTCAACCTCCCCACTGCACCCACACACACCATATATCAAGTAAATTTTGTCACTAGTAACTTGTATTCTTACTAGCTTAAATTTAAGAAAAAGGTGGTGGAAGTATTCCCATGTCTTCCAATTATATGGCGTGATGGTTGGATTTTAGGATGAAAAATACTAGATAACCAGAACATTTAGCCAATTTTATTCCAGAATGAGTTGTTGCGATTGTTATCAATATGTGGTCCCCACCACTCTGTTTTATCTAACAACCACCCCAAATCTTGACACATTTTGGCTGAAATCCTTCAAATTTTGGGTTGCATAGCATTACTTCTTAAAGATTGTGATTGATTATGCTATTGGTATAAATATATGTTTGAAGCTTTCATAGGAGTGGGGCAGGTTCAGGCTTTTGTCCGTAGGTACCATGCAATGAGTAGGCACAAATAGGGTGCAGAGTTTGGGAGCTACGAGGAAAGGGTGGGATGAGCAAAAACCCACTATGTTGCAATGCCTATTTTTACAAGATACAATGCCAAAGTCTACGAACATTTCTCTTAATTCTGAATTCTCTAGCAAGAATAGATAAATCTTCAATACAGGAATTGAACTACATCTCAGAAATAATCTCACTAATAAAGATAAAGAACCAACCTGGCAGTTACCATCTCCTTGAACTTTACACTCAACCAAATCATATAACTGCAATCTAAGAAAGACCAAATTCTTAAATTTAGATAAATACTCAATAACAAAGAGACATACATATTGTTCTAATTTAAATGCAAAGAAGTGAATAAAAAATAAAAAGGAGAAAGAACTATATTGAACATTATTTCTTGTATTTGACTAATTCAATCTTGCTTGTTCAATATTCCTCCCTCTAAACCTATAAAAAAGACATTGGATCAAAGGATAGACAGTACAGAAAAGGACTTCCCAGGGTCAGAGGTAGGGAATCTGAAAAGGGATCTTGTAGGTTGAGATTTGTGTTGCAGACCTTCAAATGGAAAAAGGGTTTAGGTCTGGGAAATTTTGTTTGTAAAAATATTGCTTTGGCAGCTAAAACAGCAATTTCCTATAGAATTATAAACTACGTCATGAAGGCACCAAGTTATTCAGAAACTAGGTGTGACACTCTACTCAGACACATGGGTGATTTGATGGCTGTTCCCTCTACTCTTCTCTAGAGAAACCACCAAAACTGCACTAGATAAGGTATACTTGGACTTTTTATGAGCACTAGGTTTGTCCCTCCACTCTGTAGCTCTTCTTGATGTTTTAAGCGAGCAACTATCTCTAATATGCAAAGGGATGAATTATCTGGACCCCACTTGTACTTGTATTTAAATATAGTTTTCCATTGTGAAAAAGAAAAATCTACAATGAATCTTAAAAAAAAATTCTTTAAAGCAGAAGTGATTGAGTGAATGTTAGTGGTTTCCAATAAAAATGCACTCCCCCCTTCCCCCCCCCCCCCCCCCCC